CTTTGGCTGCCCAACCCGCAATGAGGGATGTTCTCTCAGCCTAGACTCTTGTGGGAGGGCCTTCACGCTCCTTGGGGTTCGAAGTAGAGATTGGGTGGGAGACTGGGGGGCCTGGGGGAGGAGGGGAGGGAGGGAGAGGGAGCTGGGATTGACATGTGAAGCAAGCTTGTTTCTAATTTAAAGAAAAAGATAAAAGGAAGGGAAAAAAACTAAGGTTGGAGATGAAGGTGAATACTGTGGTCAGCAAGAGTTTAGGACACCCAGAGACTAGCAAGGCAAGAAGCAGGAGTGACATCGTCGCACTCCTGGGAGGAGCATTGGGTAGTGGGACCCAGGGCTGCCTTCCTCCTCTTCTATTCCTCAGCTGCTTTTTTTCTGCCTTTCCCTGTGGCTGTCCTTGGCTACCAGCAGGTGTGTGTCCTGGGGCTGCATCTGGCTAAGGAGCTTTGTGAGGTGGATGAGGATGGAGACTCATGGCTACAGGTGACTCGCAGGCTCCCCATTCTGCCCACGCTCCTCACCACCCTGGAAGTGAGCCTCCGCATGAAGCAGAACCTACATTTTACTGAGGCTGCACTGCACCTGCTCCTCACCCTGGCTCGCACCCAGCAGGTAGGAGGCTGCTTAGGGTGCAAAAGATACCCTGCTTGTGCTGAGTTGTTCCCAGAAGCCAGAGTCTAACTCAGATCTCTTCCTACCATTGTAAGTCTTTTTAGGTTCCATCTAATTATGGGTTTCTCCTCCAGGGAGCCACAGCAGTGGCTGGAGCTGGCATCACCCAGAGCATCTGTTTGCCCCTCCTGAGTGTGTACCAGCTTAGCAGCAATGGTACAGGACAGGTGAGTGCCAGAATCTTGCCTCCTGTAGCTCTCAGGTGACAGGTGCCCTCATCTTGCTGCTCTTCCCTCGTGTTATCCCAATTCTCTGGTAAAGTTTCCTGCCCCGGCACATGACTCACGAGAGGAAGTACCCAAGTGTATGCTTAGCATGAACCTGATGCCAAGCTGATCCCAACAGCAAACAAAATAAGTGCCGCCAGTGCTAGGCTACTAGCCTGGACAGTTGTCACTTCAAAAGTCAATGTGTTACTTTGTGTGTGCGTACGTGTGTATATGTATGTGTGTCCATGTCATGTCCTCCTTGTCGTCCCCCTTAGGGACCTCAGTTACCTCTGGCTGGCCAGCAGTTGTATCTTGGGTCTGGAGTCATCTTCACAGTACCTCATGTCTGAATTGCGTTTAGTTTTGTGTTTTGGGTATTTGTTTTTTGTTTTTCAAGACAGGGTTTCTCTGTAGCTTTGGAGCCTGTCCTGATACTCTATAGTCCAGGCTGGCCTCGAACTCAAGAGTGCTAGAATTAAACACATGTGTCACCATTGCCTGGCCTCTTGTCTGAACTGTTAAGTCTGCTAAGTCTGCTTCCTTTAGGCCAGCCTCCCTAAATTTAGAGGGCCAGCGTAAGGCAGGGACATGGCCAAGCTAACATACTTGGTTAGTAGTAGACCCAGTTTTAGAGCCCTCTGATCTTGCTAAGTCTGATAGCCTTACCCCTCCTAGCTCTGTTCATAATAGTGGTAACTGTCCACTCCAAGACATTTTTTTCTTTCCAGTAACTGGGCCACTTTCCAGTAACTCTGCTGCTCTGAGTGGGTTCCTGTGGCTTCCATCCTGAGCCTGTGTGCCATTTGTTGTAGACACCCAGCACTTCTCGAAAGTCCCTGGATGCTCCGTCCTGGCCAGGGGTCTACCGCCTGTCCATGTCCTTGATGGAGCGGTTGCTCAAGACTCTACGCTACAATTTCCTGACTGAGGCTCTAGACTTTGTGGGTGTCCATCAGGAGCGGACCTTGCAGGTAAGGGCCTGCCTGCCTTACAGAAAGGGATACCTGGAGCCATTTGGGGCAGGTGACTGTAGAACTTGGGGTATCAACGCCCTTATCTTTGAGATGCGGGAAGAAATCTGACTGAGTCACCCGACTAAGAGGAAGCCTTCATTATAGTGCCAGCCACCTCAGCTTATGTGGGCCCAAGACCTGATCTGCATAGGTAGGTAGACACAGTGTGCCAGGCCCCTGAGCATTCTCTGTTGTTCTGCCTTCAGTGTCTTACTGCGGTGCGGACGGTACAGAGTCTGGCGTGCCTGGAGGAGGCAGATCATACTGTGGGCTTCCTCCTACAGCTGTCCCACTTCAGGAAGGAGTGGCACTTCCACCTGCCTCAGCTGATGCGTGATGTTCAGGTGAGCCTGCAGCCCTGTAACTTGGGGAGGCTTGGGGACGTGATGGGGGGAGCCAGTGGCTATCCTCAGTGAACTGCAGGCTGCTTCTGAATGTGAACTTCTTGTTTGGGGACACAGGCTTGACTCAGGCTGCTTACTTAGGCTGGTGCTTCCCTCCACAGCAAAGTGACTGGATAGGTTGAGAACTTGGGCCCTATGAGGGAGACTTAGGTTCAAAACCCTCAGAAGGCTTGAAGCTTTAGGAGCCCATGGACCTTAAAGGCAGCAGGTTGCTGCCATGGGCTACTGTCTATATGACCTTGGCCAGGTCACATCCCCTCTGGTTTTCTGCAATATTGAAACAGTAATTCCCATCTTGTTGATTTATTGAGAACTGAGTAATATCAGAAATGCAGCTGAAACATTCCAGACCTGATCCCTGCTGGCAGCTGTTAAGTTAGAGCGTTAGTCAGTGAGAGGAAGGCAAGCACCTGGAGAGACCTGATGTGGAGTTGCCCATGAGCTTTTTCCTGTCCCTCCTATGTCCCAGGTGAACCTGGGTTACTTGTGCCAGGCGTGTACCTCCCTCCTACACAGCCGCAAGATGCTGCAGCACTACCTACAGGTAACCGGAGCCCCTAGCCTGTTAGCGCTGGCAGCGCCTCTCTTCCTCTCCCGTGACTTTCCTTCATTTCCTGACTCCTCAGAACAAAAATGGGGATGGCCTCCCCTCAGCTGTCACTCCTCGAGTTCAGCGGCCAGCCACTGCCACCACCACCACTGCTACCACAGTTCTTGCTGCACCATCTGCCTGCTCCTCCAAGCAGCCTGTTGCTGATGCTGAGGCCTCAGAGCAGCGAGCGCTACACACAGTCCAGTATGGCCTTCTCAAGATCCTCAGCAGGACCCTGGCCGCCCTGCGCCACTTCACTCCAGATGTCTGCCAGATCCTGCTGGACCAGGTACTGACCAGCACCTCTTACAGTAGGTTCTCAACACTAACCTTGAACTTGGGCTCTGCAGTACACAATGCTGTATTCTGGAGAGCTCCCAGCAATTTCCAGAGTGCTGTTTTCTGTCTTTCAGTCCCTGGATCTCGCTGAATACAACTTCCTATTTGCCCTAAGTTTCACCACTCCCACTTTTGACTCTGAAGTGGCCCCCTCCTTTGGAACCCTGTTGGCCACAGTGAACGTGGCCCTCAACATGCTTGGAGAGGTAGGGCCCCAACCCCAAAACTTTCCACTTGGTCTTTCACTTCCAAGTAATATGGGACGTATCCAGCCCCTCCCTACAATGGCATGCCAGCAGTTTCCATAAGTACCCTGTAAAGTACCAGGGGAAATGGTATACAAGACCTTAACTGCTACTGCTACTGTTAGTTTGATTTTTTTGTATTGCTTGCTTCTATTCCTCTAGCTGGACAAGAAAAAAGAATCCCTTACCCAAGCTGTGGGACTCAGCACACAAGCAGAAGGAACCCGAACATTAAAGTAAGACCTGAATCTTAGTGCCTGGGGCAGTTGTGGGCTGCCATTGTCTGTGGTTCAGCTATGATTGTGAGATACTCTCACACCTGCCTCTCCAGGTCCCTCTTGATGTTCACCATGGAGAACTGCTTCTACCTGCTCATCTCCCAGGCAGTACGCTACCTCAGGGACCCGGCTGTGCACCCCCGGGACAAGCAGCGGATGAAGCAGGAACTGAGCTCAGAGCTGGTATAGATATGTTGGCTGACCAACAGGGAAAGCTGTTTGGGTGCTGCCTGTCCTTTGGGGTCCCTGGGCCTAATTAAGCTGCTGCTTTTCTTATAGAGCACACTGCTTTCCAGCCTCTCACGTTACTTCAGAAGGGGAACCCCCAGTTCCCCTGCTGCCGGAGTCCTGCCCTCACCGCAAGGCAAGGCCACCTCTCTCTCCAAAGCCAGCCCAGAATCTCAGGAACCTCTGATCCAACTTGTGCACGCCTTTGTTCGGCATGTGCAGAGGTAGGAAGTGGACTGCTCGTGCTCCTACCGACCTGCACTGCAGCCTGGGCAGAGGGTGCCGCCACCACAGAGCCAGCCACTGAGCAAGCAGCTCCCTTCGTCCTCTTCCCGCCCACCCGCTGACATTATTTTTGTAATAGATCAAGAGGTCAACAGCATGGGCAGGGAGCCAAGGGTCTGGTGCTCAGGCTCTTTACAATGTCCCCAAGGTGGCCCTTTTCCTTCAAGCATTCCCATGGCATGTCACCGGCCAGGGAGGCCCTGGGTGCTGGCAGCACAGGAGAAGCCTATGTATAGTCAGGATTTTCCATGATCTATTCCTGCAGGTTTTTTTTTTTTTTTTTTTTTGGTAATACTGTGGTCTATTTATACAAATATTAAAGTACTGTTTATAGATTGGGCCTTCAGAGCCTGGGTCACGCGGCAGCTCTCAGAGGCCCCAGACATGAGGGGGTAGCATGGAGATGACAAGAAGAGTTGGTTGGCTAATGTCTTATCCCTCATAGCTCCAGGCTGAGCCCACAGCTATTGGCTACTGAAGCTTCCCTATTGGCAGGCAAGCCACTGCAGTCCAGTGGATCCCAATTTAGGGAAGTTTTCCTTCATTGTGCAGCTTCATGTATGGGACCCTGGGAATTTGGGTGCTATATGAACTTTTCCTCTGGTCTGCACTCTGGGAATAAGCTTGTGCCATGGCTCCATGAAAACCCTACCCAGAGAAGGGAGATAATGAAGTCTAACCACGCTTTCAGGGCCACTCATGCACTCTGAGACCCTGACAAGAGCCCAGGCAATCTGCACACAAACAGTTTATTTGCCAGAGAGCAAGCAAGACAGGCAGAAGAAAGAATGCCAGTTAGAAACTGCGTGAGTGATGGCTGCAGCCACTGCACTCAGCCAGAGCTGCGACGGAAGGAGGGAGGGGCAGCACCTGGTGCTGCTGCTCTGACCATCCCTTCTGGTCCCCTGCCAGACTGTCCAGTCCCTGACCGTTAGCCCTGTTAACTGCTCTCCCCCTCAACCTTCCACAGCTAGAAGGCAGATAGATATTCTTTTCATGCCAAGAGCATCCCCAGCATATTGTAGTACCAAATGTAGTATCCCTCCTGCCTTAAGGGAGCTGGGAAACCCGGAGTATGCAGGGATGCAGGTCAGAAGCAGGGATAGCAGAGGGGCCTGGAGCCATTCTGTTGTGTAGGTCCTTCATAGCTGAGTGACAGAGCCACAGCCAGAATAGGGTTAGCTCCCCTATCCTAGAAAGATATGTCTCCAGCAGACAAGGTAGTGGCAGGGCCTTGAAGGGGGCTGCTTAGCTGAGAAGTTCCAAGTAGGTGACAGGGACCTTGCCCTTCTTGTTGCCTCTCTCACCAATGAGCCAGTCAGGGTCCATGCCAGGCAGGCTGTAGACAGTGATGAGCTGTGGGGAGCAGAGACGGAACTTGTGCCCTGGAAATAGGCCCCAGGACTAAGCCCTGTGAAGGGTGTCACTAAGGGGCTATACTGGGCCATGTCCGTTTAGGGACTGACTGCTTCTTAAGACCTGTAGTCAGTTGCCTCCCCTGACACCCACAGCTCCTCCCCAGGGTCCAGGGATTCCAGAATGACTAGGTTGTGCAGACCCAGTGTTTCTGGTCTCCTGTCCAGCTCTTGCCTGCTTCCTCAGGACCCTAGACTCACCTCATCAGCCAACAGGGCCAGCTCACTGCTGTCAGCTGCCTCGTAGTCGTAGAGCACCCGCGCCTTGCGGGTCCCACTGGCTGGGGGAGCCACCTCCTCTAGACAGAGTGCTGCCTCTTCTGGAGGGATCAAACCAGCCCCAGTGGGTACCACAGGCATGGTAGCTGCAGTGGTGGTGGGTGAGGTGCTGCTCAGGGGTGGAGAGGCAGGTTCTGTAGTGCCCACAAAGGTGCCTGGAAATCTAGAGAAATGAGGGTGTCTCAGTCAGCGCTAACCCAAGAGTCTCAAATACTCTACAAGACATACCAGAGACATCAGCCAGTTTAAACACAAGGAGGCCATACCCACCAATAACTTACATAGTGCCCTGGGAGCTGGCAGCACAAAAAGAAAAAATAAGCTGAGATCATCCCACCTGCTTGTCCCTGCCCACTTCCCTAGCCCAAACACTAGAGCCCACCTCTCTTCCCTGTCCGTGTCCCCGTCCCCCGTCCCCCCCCCCCCCCCCCGTGACTCCTGGCACTGATGGCAGCCCTGTGAGGCTCACCACATTAGGTCATTAGGTACCCAGATGGGGTTCTATGCAGAGCCTCCAGTTCAGTCTCATGTGTTGTGGGATTTTTCTGAGCTCTGAAGAAAAGGCCCTTGGCCTGAAGCATTGGGCCTAGGAGATATAAGGGGTTTCAGCCACACCTGCCTAGTTGTTTCTGCAGATCCAGCATGTGGCGGTAACATTGTGCATAGTAGGTTGTCTGAGACTTAACGAATTCATGGAGGCAGCGTAGGTGGTTCACCTGGAAGGAAGAGGTCGGGACTTCATGTAGCCTATGGCCTCAGCATAGATCGTCCCCATCCTGTCCCCTGCCAGACCATACTCCAGGCACCATTGAGTGAGGCTAGGACACCCAGTCTGTGGGCTGGCTCTGGGGTCCATGCTTGTGGCGAGACCCTTAGAAACACGAATGTGGGACTCACATGAGTGCTGCTGATCCCCTCCAGCAGAAGACGAGTCACTTCTGCCTGCCGGTCAAACTCTGTCTGGGCCACTCGAAGCTCTTGCTCAGCCTGGGTGGGGCAGGCAGTGATGAGCACAGCCCCCCATCCTGCATCCCTTTATATCAGCCTTCCCTGTGCCCTGAGGCCTACTGGAAACCATATCACTGTCCTCAGAACACAGCTGCCTGGCTTTGCACCTAGAAATGACATTCAAGAAGCCAGCACCAACTTGGGATCTGTGGGTAGCTTCAATGACAGACCCTCCACCACCCATCAGGGTAGGATCTATCAAGAGATGCCTCTGCGGGTCCTAATGTGCTGCACAGCAACTATTAGCCAGAGGGGGATTTGGCATCACTGACCAGTACCCCCAACAAGTGCAAGGCAGAATCCAGTGCTATAGATGCCTTATCTATGGCAGCAGCTAAGCCTGGACCTCTATCAACCTCCTAGACCTTGCCTCCCTAGGCCCCAACTCACCTTGTCTACTTCATCGTTCCAAAGCTGTGGACACCACAACAGCACCAGTGAGCAGGGAAGGAAAGGTGGGCATCATGAGTGGAGAGGGAGGGACAGCCAGATGCCAGAGCCTGTGCCTGCCCCGGCTCCCAGGGACCCAACCTCTCTGCCCATCCTAGCCTGCATAACCTGCCCCAGCCCAGGCAGGAGCTGAGGCTGGAACAAGTTTGCCATAGGGCGGGGAAATGACACCACATCCCATCTAGCATGCTACATGCAGGGCCAGCCAGCTGGGAAGTCTTGCTTGTACTTTTCCTACAGCCGCCCCCAACTCTAAGTGGGTCTTAGAGACCAGATGTCCCCACCCCACCCTGACTCCTGCTTGGAGGCAGGACAGGACAAGTGACCCTGGGCCAGTCACTGAACCTTTCTGTCCTCCGGCAGAGAAAGGCAGCCTCGGGCCAGAGTCACACTGGGGGCCAGTGGCAAAAGAAAAAAACAGGGCAGCCTCCACCCTCCGGGATGTTTCTCCTTCAACTCGGCCCAGGGAAGGGAGCGGGAAGTGTCATCCAGAGTCTAGGGAAGAAAGATACCCCCTCCCCCCACCATGACTTAGGAGACCCAATTTATGGCCACTTGTGGAAGTCTGGCCTAGGATAACACCCTGACACGTGGATGGACTGCTGAACTGGGCCAGCAGGGTGCGCAGCCCACAGTGGGAGGGAACATCGCCATGTGCCGTATTGGAGGGCCGTCTGAAAGGCCTGGGTGAGCATGAACAGCGGCTGACATCTCTGACCACTGCCAGCCATGGGATGATGAAGAGCACAAATCACACAATGGCGTGTTCAGGACAGGAGCAGAGGGCCAGACGGCTGGGAAGGACAGCTTCACCCAGCCTCGCTCTAACTTGCCTCCACCCTGGTCTCCAGCTGGCCTCCCACCTGCTCTCCACGTGTTTCCCAGGCCATCTAGCTTGCAAGCTACAAGGGCTCTAAGGCAAACAACAGTTGATTAGTCTAAGAGAGCCCAGGCAGCCTCTGCCCTAACCCCAGCCCCCTTCCCCTCCAACAATGAGGTGTTGGGGTGGTGTCCCCTTGTAGGAGAGAACATAGGATGGACCGTCCCTCAGGTCCCTAGAGGTGGTAGAGTGTGCTTTGCGCAGCTGGACAAAACATCTTCCACCTTGCATAGGAAGAAGCCAGATCAGCCTGCCTGGTGGGCCCGACTGGAACAGAGGGAGTTGTCACTTCCCTGTTCTGAGCTGCCCCTCAGCCTCTTAGGACAGCCTGTCACATGAGCAGGGCTTTGCCTCACCTTCTGGCTTTTGGTCCTGCGCTGGCAGAGCCAGTGGCAGGAGCTGTAGGCAGAGGAGGCCAGGGTGGGGCAGGGCATAGTGGGAAGGGTGCTTACCGCAGAGGCGCTGGCCGAGAGAATGTAATTACGAGGTCTAGTCTCCTGAAAGTCAGGCACCGTCTGGCGGGGAACAGAGTTCATGGGGGAGGGGGGTCACCCTGGGCCAGGACCAGTGTTGAGGCCAGGAGGTGGCCCCGGAGTCTCCTATATAAGGAGACGCAAGAAACTCTGGCCCCAGGGACAGGAGGACACAGATATAACAGACCCTTTGCAGCTGCTCCAACCATCTGGAGATGGGACAGGCTTGGGGGCTCAATGGGTCCAACATGAAGACCCAATGGACAGATGTGCTGAGAGTCCAAGTAAGCCACAGGCTGGGCCTGCCACACTTTTGAGTCTCAGGCACACAAGGAGGCCCACCAGATCCACAGCCCTCCCCCACCACAGCTTTCTCCAGCTCAGAATTTCACCACAGTCTATGCCTCTCCATTGAGGCCAGATCCCTCCCCATAAGAGTAGATAGATGGATGCATGGATGGAGAGTGACAGGCTTCTGACATTTGCAAGAAGCTGCCTCACAGGCTTTGATGCCTGCATCCCCACAAACCGGAGACTGCGTGGAGGCCAGCCAATTGCAAAGCCTGAGGGCATGCCCTGGGCTGGCCACACCACGAGGGCCCTCGGACAGGACGGGTGAACCAGAAGCAGCACAGCAAGGGACAGGTATACTCACATCTCCCTCACACTGAGCCAAGTTACCCAAAGCAGAACAGGAAGGAACAAAAACACAGAGTTAGTTAAGTCCACAGCAAGCAAAAGCAGGCATAGCCAGCCCAGCACAAGGTGGCGTAGAAGGACTGGAAGGACACTCACAAGCCTCCCTCGGGGGTCCTGAGTGGCACATAAGGGCCCAGGAGTGAGCTGCTGAGCTTGTGTCCCTATGGACAATGCTCCTGCCTCACTTGATTCACAGGCCCAAGGTTCTCTGGGTACCAAGGGGAAAAGCAGTCACTCTGCAGTTGACTAGGAAAAGACAGAAGTAACGGGGTCGGGCTCATCTGCCCAGGTGATTGACAGGTGATCACAATAGTCAGTCATTCTCCACATGCGTGCCCTGTACACCTTGGTTGACTTGGGAGCCTGCTATGGCTCTTGCCGGAGGCAGTGTAGGCCTCAGTGACCACACTGGCCATGTTGTAGGGTGCATTATGGGAGTGGAGAGCCACTAGGCTCTCCTGGTCTGGCCTACCTTTCCTCAGCTAGAGTCTGAGAAATAGATTTCCTAACGTGCCCAGGGCCTAAGAGTTTCTCAGGACCTGAGGTGGCTGTTAGGTCCCTTACATGCTAAGCATCCCTCTTGGCCTAGGCCTGTCAAATCAGCTCAGCCTGTTCTGCCCTGATTGAGCAGGCTCCAGTGGGCTCTGGGGTGAAGGAGGAGCAGGATGGCCCAGGCCATTCTTCAGACAGTCCCTGCATGGGGATTGGGGGCTGGCCAGCTCTAGTGCTCTCCACAGCCTTCAGCCTAGGGGAGCCTAAGCATAGGGCACATTGTACCCATGTTCAAGCAGCAGGTGGAGAGTTAGTAGGGAAGCCATGCCCAGACAGGGCCAGGCTGAGCATCCACAGAGGCAGGAGAGGCATGCAAGAATCCCATCTGACACCCACCAGGAGGCTTGCAGGCTGCCCAGCCCACTTAAAGGCACTGTGAACCTGCCTACTTCATAAATGTCTACCCTGGGGTGGGGACAGAAGCCATAACCTGACAAGTCAGCAGTCTGGCTCCAGCCAGGGAAGAAGAAAGAGCATGCCAAACACCAGGTCCCTGTGTGCCCCATCTCTGGAACCCCAACAGCTGCTTGGTGGCAAGGAGAGGCAGGGGCACTTACCGTGGCTTTGGCTTCTGCTGCCTTGGCCTTCTTCAGCCGTGCTTTGCAGGCGTCCAGGTCAAGGCGCCGATTCTGCAGGAGCCGCCTCTCCTTCTGCAGGGTGGAGGACAGGAACAGTGAGACCTGGCCAGAGACCCCTGGGAAACTGTCATTCTTGGTCACTCAGCCTACAGGAGCCACCTCTGGAGAGGCCCGGGTTCCCTGCCTGGGATGACAGCCTGTGCACAGTTCAGAGCAGTGGTCCCAGACTACTCACCGAGATTGTTTTCCAGTCCCCTTCCAGGAAGTTGCGCAGGGGAGTGAGGAAGCTGAGGGAGGCGGTGTGGATGAAGTCCCGTTCCGCTGCTCCCAGACGCTTTTCAGCTTCGGACACCTTCATTAGTGTTTTCCCTAGGGAGACAGGGTTGTAGGGTGAGGGAGGGGCAAGACTCAGGTCACTCTGTCCCCAGAAGTCTGCCAGGCAAGTGGAGGTGACCTACAGAGTTGCCAACGTGGGACAGACAGATGGGCATCCAGCGTGAAGCTCTGGAGCCCTACAATGATGGACAGTGGCTCTTGGGGCCCAGCAGACAGGGGATGAGGCCTAGCGTCTCAAGGGCAAACCAAAGGGTTGGGAGTTCTAGAATGAAGAAAAGGAGTCTGACGAATCTCCCCCAGAAATTAAGGACATTAGCTTCCAGAGTCCGGATTGATCAAAACACAGAAACAAATGGAGAGGCATTTTCTGAAGAGCAGCTGGGCCCTGGTAAGAACAATGAAGGGTATTATTCTGGGGATGCGCCATCTCTTCCTGGCTACTGTCCCGTGCAGCTGCTGTTGAGGCTGATGAGAGAAACACCACAGCGTCCCAGGTGACACCACTGACAACAGCAGCCAACCTGCAGCTGGGGACCTGGTGGAAAGGGCGCCACCCCTGCCAGAATTTAACACAATCCAGAAAACCTCCCAGCAAGCACACCTGTAGCATGTCTGAGACAGGCTGGAGAGCACACAGTAACTTCCCACCCTGGGCTGAACAGAAATCGAGCTAGACTTGTAAACTGCTCAACCTTTAGATGGTTTCCCAATTCACATACACAGACTGATAAAGTCTCAGTGGCTGAAGACATTTAAAAACAACCACTGACCAATATTAGCTGACATGTCCTGACCCCAAACAGTTCTTTGGGAGCCGGCTTGAAATGAGGAGAGTAAGCTGGGAATGGTGGGCAGGCCCACAGTCCCATCCACTGGGAGGCTACGACTGGGAGACCCAGAACTAGAGGCCATTATGAGCAATTTAATAGGATATTGTTTAAAAAAGAAAAGGGTGGGGGATAAGGATCTGGGATGTAGCTCACTGGTAGAGTACTTGCTGAGCACATATGGGCCCAGAGTTAAATACCCAGTACTGACAAAAAGAAACAAAGAAGAAGAAAACATAATACAAAATAACAATAATATAAAAGGAGGCAGTAAAGAAAGACAAAAATTACCTAAGACCTAAATGAAAAAAAATCTAACCACATCAATAATTACATTAAAACATAAATGGATTGAGCACCCTAAAGAAAAGTCAATGACTATCTGATATTTTTAAAACTATCTAAATATTGTCTATACTGAATGTCATTGATTAGAGTCATGCTTGAGATTTTATGATATAGTAAACAGGTTAAGAAGAAATGGGCAGAAAAAGATACTATGCATTCTGGCACTGGATCTAAATAGCCATACAGTTATCAGACAAAATGGACTTTCAGGCAGAAAGTCTGACAAAAGACAATGAGTAGCATTTTAATTTTAGTTTTGAGATGGAGTGTTACTCTGTTGCCCAAGCTGCTCTCAGGCTTCCAGACTTAGATGCTTTCCACACTCAACCTCTCAAGCACTGAGAACACAAACTCATGAGGGGCACTGCATGGGGACAACACAGTCAATCCAGGGTGGGGCACTGCTCAGTGACTGCTGCACAAGCGTGGGACCTGAGTTCAGACCCCAGAACCTGCATAAAAGCCAGTGGGGTGGCAGGCATCTCTAACCTTTGTTACAGATGACAGTGACAGTGGAGTCAGGCAGATCCCTGGTGTGCACTGGCTACCGGGGTTAGCAGAGTAAATGAGCTACAGTTCCAATGAGAGAGCAGTGGAGGAAGACATTCAAATCTGACTTCAGTCCTATGCTCACACACACACACACACACACACACACACACACACACACACGCTATCCATCAGAAAGATAAACATGGACCTAATAGGGCTCTAAAATACACACCAAACATTGACCAACTACAGAAGGAAACTGGAAAAAACATCAGGAAAGATCCATGCCCTTTCTCAATAACCTGGGTGAGACACACGGCAGGTGACACCAGCAGCCAACCCTCCTGAACAACGAACGCTGTGGCCTGCAGCACGTGACAGAACAAACCCAGACAGGTCTTTTGCTAGGCCAGTAGTTCCCAACCTCTGGGTTGCCTAAGACCATAGGGAAACACAGATTATGTGGTGATTTACAACAACAGCAAAATTGCAGTTATGAAGTAGTGACAAAAATAAAGTTATGGTTGGGGTCATCACAACATGAGGAGCTGTATTAAGGGGCCATAGCGTTAGGATGGTTGAGAACCACTGCTCTAGGCCATGAAAAAACCAGGAGCTTTAAAATCCAGACAGCGGAAGATCTTTACTACTAGGGGAGATGGAAAAAACTTCGGCAATTTCTTTCTCTTCGCTGCCATACCAAGTTTATGTGTTGCTAGGGATCAAGTCGCAGGCATCATCAATTAACTGAGCCAGGTCCCCAGCCCATCAATTTCTTAACAGGTTAAATATGGGGCTGGAGCAATGGAAAACAGACCCAAAAAACGTTACTGGTAGCCTGAGCTGGGAACCAGGATTGACTCTATAAAGGGGACAGTTTTAGATGAGATGAGGAAAAATTTTTTTTGGTTTTTCAAGACAGGGTTTCTCTGTACTGTTTTGGAGGCTGTCCTGGAACTCACTCTGTAGACCCGGCTGGCCTCGAACTCACAGAGATCCGCCTGCCTCTGCCTCCCGAGTGCTGGAATTAAAGGCATGCTTCACCAACGCCCAGCTGAGATGAGGAAATTTTTTAATTGGTCTATGGAAATGTTTGTACAACTCTAAATTCACTGGAATATATAACATAAACCAATTATCTGTTACGGCATATAAGATATATTCAAATAAAATTCTGAAATTAAGAGAGAATGAGGTGTGCCAGCATGAACATAATAGATCTGCAAGACAATGACTTATGAACTCGAGAGGTGGCTCAGCAGTTAAGATCACTGGATAATCCTCAGAGGACCAGGGTACAATTCCCAGCACCATGTTAGGAAGTTCACATTGCCTGTAACTCCAGCTCCAGGGGATCTGACACCCCTTCCAGCATACAGGTGGTACAATACATATATGCAGGCAAAACACACATACATACAAAAATAAATAACTTTTAAAAGGTTGTGGGTCAGAAGATCCCATTGAAAAGCTCATATCAAGTCAGGCAGTAGTGGTGCACACCTTTAATCCCAGCACTCAGGAGGCAGAGGCAGGCGGATTTCTGTGAGTTCTGGGTCAGCCTGCAGAGCCGGTTCCATGACAGCCAGGGCTGTTACACAGAGAAACCCTAATCTCAAAAAATCAAAACAAGACAAACAAAAAACCCAATGAGATCTTGAAATTTGGAGGCATCTGAATGGAACTAGGAAAAAACATCCTGAGTGAAGTAATGCAGACCTAGAAAGACAAACATGCTATATACTTCCTCATAAGTGGATATCAGACATCAAGAAAGGATAACCAGACTACAATCCATAACCCCTGGGAAGTCAGGTAACAAGGAGGACCCTAAGAGAGACATGCATGGATACCCCTGGGAAAGGGAAACAGGTAAGATCTCCTGGGTAAATGGGGGTGCTGAGAGGAGGGGGGAGGAGAACATGAGGGAATGGGGTGGTTGAGTTTGGGGACAGAAGAGCAAGGAAAGAGAAATCTTGATAGAGGTAGCTATTGTGGGGTTAGGGAGAAATCTGGTGCTAGGGAAACTCCCAGGAATCCATAAGGAAGACCCCAGCTAAGACTCCTAGCAATAGTGGAGACAGTGCCTAAACAGGCCTTCCCCTAATTGATGACTACCCTAATTATCATAGAACCTTTATCCAGTAACCGATGGAGGCAGATACAGAGATCCACACCTAAGCACTGGGTCAAGCTTCCGGAGTCCAGTCGAAGAGAGGGAGGAAGGATAATATGAGCAAAGGGGTCAAGATCATGATGTGGATGGGAAACCCACAGACAGCTGACCCAAGCTACTGACTCTGGACTGACAGCAGAGGAACCTGCATAGGAGGGAACTAGGCCCTATGAATGTGGGTGACAGTTCTGACTTGTGGGGCCCCTGGCAGTGGGACCAGGATTTATCCCTAGTGCTTAAACTGGCTTTTTGGAGCCCATTCCCTATGTGAGACACCTCGCTCAGCCTAGATGGGGGGAGGGGCTTGGTCCTGCCTCAACTTGATATGCCAGTCTTTGTTGACTCCCCATGGGAGGCCTTACCCTTTCTAAGGAGTGGATGGAGTATGGGTTGGGAGAACATGAAGGGGAGAGCGGGAGGAGAGGAAGGAGGTGGAACTATGGTTGGTACATAAAGTAGAAAGAAACAAAAAACTTTTTTTGGTTTTCCGAGACAGGGTTTCTCTGTATTGTTTTGGACCCTGTCCTGGAACTCGCTCTGTAGACCAGGCTTGGTCTCGAACTCACAGAGATCCGCCTGCCTCTGCTTCCCAAGTGCTGGGATTAAAAGCGTGCGCCACCAACGCCCGGCCAAAAAAAAAAAGTTTAAAAAAAGAAAGAAGCGTAGCTGTGAGGCCTGGGACGGCTCGGCTAGTAAAGCACACTGTGGGCAAGCCTGGACCTGTGGTCAGTCCCACAGCACACGGAAACAGCAGGCATGGCGACACCTGATTGGAAGCTCATCATCCAGGAATTTGAGGCAAGGCTGACCCAAAGGCTTGCTGGCCAGCCAGCCTAGCCTAATCAGCCAGCAAGCACCAAGTCCTAGGGAGAGACCTGGTCTCCTGGAACAGGGTGAGAGATGCCTAAGGTTGGGCCTCTAGCCCCCACATGCACATACATGTACACACACAGCCCAGGGCTGGGGTAGACTGCCTGCTAAGCATGCACAGGGCCCCACGTCCCAACTCCAGTACCACAGAAACAACACAAATACATATGCCACATATACATACACACATGCCACACCAAACACATCCACATGCCAAAACATACCACACTGCACACACATACACAGTTATTACACATATTCACACCACACACACTCTATAGACACACCACACATACTATACATAAACCACACTCATCCACAGACCACACCACACACTGTACACCACCACACACACCTCACATGCCATACACATTACACACACACACACACACACACACACACACACACACACACACACACACACACACACACACACACGCACATACCCCTAAACTGGTTAAAGGAGGATTCTTTCTTTTTTTTTTTTTTGGTTTTTTGAGACAGGAGGATTTGTTCTTTTATTCTTGTCTACATTCATGGAAGATCTTACATTCAGAACAAACTCAGGCAATCTCTTTTTTTGTTTGTTTGTTTTGTTGTTGTTATTTTGTTTTTCCAGGCAGGGTTTTTCTATAGCTTTGGAGCCAACTCTCTCTGTTGACCAGGCTGGTCTCGAACTCACAGAGATTCGCCCTGGACGTCCTGGAACTTGCTCTGTAGACCAGGCTGGCCTCGAACTCCGGGATCTGCCTCCCGAGCGCTGGGATTAAAGGCATGTGCCACCACCGCCCCACTATCGCTATCATTTTTTAAACAGGAAGGAATTGGGGCCTACACCCTAAATCCCAGGGGACACAGCCAGGTGGAGCTCTGTGATTTTAAGGTCAGCCTTAAATAGGGAAACCTAGTCCAAAATAAAAAGAGAGGGGAAGGGAGACAGGGAGGGGGCAGGGGCCAGAGACAGTGCCCCTCACTCCAGCCCCCAGCCCTGTGGTCTGCTCACCATAGGGGGTGCTGGGCCCCAGCTCGCTGGCTGCTTCTGCCATGTACTGAGCCAGCAGCTCCCCATTAGTGACCCTCGAGGGCACCTTTCTGTCCAGCTTCTCATACAGGAACTCCTCCACTCGAGCACCTGTAGGGAGACAGCAGCCACAACCACAGGGCTCTCCGGTCCAAGCCAAAAATGACAGCCACAGTGACAGAACAAACCCTGGCCAGCCCCCAACCCCCACTGGGCACCCACACTGAAGACGTCCAGACACATTTCTGACACCCACACCCACCCTGTGAGACCAGAGAGGGCGCCAGAGCTCAACGATGGGACACAGCTGATTGCAGCCCCGCAGCACTGAAGTCAGGGCCTCCCATGTCTCCCCATTTAAGTGGGATTTACAGTGTGTAACACAGGTGTGAACGTGCCCTGGCCTTGGTCCCGAACCCCTCTGGACACTTCAGGCCACTGCCGGTTGACAGGTGACATGCAGGCTGCCTCCAAGCCAGTCTTCTGCTCCTTGGGCTTCCCCTGCAGTCAGCTGCCCTGCTTGACTTTGGTCAAGCCCTGTCCCGCCTCTGGCAGGGAGCCCGGGCTGGCATTTGCAGTTCATGCCACCTTCCCCACTGTTCAAGTGAGGCTTTCAGCTCTTGTGTACCAGTCTGGCCTCCCCTCCCGCTCAGAGGCCCTGAGCGGGACCGGGCCCCGCCTGCCTCCTGCCCCGCACCCACTCACTGGGGTTGGGTTGCAGCAGCACCTCGGTCTGCCTCAGGATCCGCTCTGTCCAGTTCTTGGTGCTGTCTGCCCGCGCCAGGAGGTTTTCAAAGTGAGCATCAAGCTCAGTCTTCTCTGCTTGGCCGAATTTCTCCTCTGTGAACTGGGATGAAAGTGGCAAGAGAGTCCCAGGGTCAAAAACTTTTGGAGGGTGGCCTCTCACCACCCACCCTGGACTTCAGCTGCCCCTTTCTAGGGTGAGGGAGGGGGTTGTGTGAGTTGGAATCGTGGCTCCTGGAAGCCTTACAGCAGCTCTGCTCCCTCTCCACGAGAGCATGTATGCGCCCATGAGTACGGACTCGGAGGAGGTGGCCACCAGGGCTTAGTACCAAGCCCTTAGGGAACAGAGGGGGCCCAGAGCAAGGCTGGGAAGTACCAAGGAACTCCATGGGGCACCAGCAAAAATTCAGGTTCTGGAATCAAAGGGACCCCATTCATATCTCAGTTCTACCCGTTGAGTGTGTGACATTGGGAAAGTGGCTTTGCCTCTCCGGGTCTGTTTCCCCTGAAAACAGACAGTAAGGATGCTTCTCACAGGCTCTACAGGGTGAAATGGAAAGGTGTGGCTTACACGAGAGGCTGGAATTGAACCTGTGCCAGTGTAAAGTGCCCACACTGCTGCTGGGGGGGGGGGAGTGGGAGGCAGACTGGGCAAATGTTTGGCCTCTGGGTGTGGTAAGCACTGCCAGCCCATCAGAGCCAGCTGCTGCGTGTACCCAGGACCTGCGAGGTCACATGGGTTCCCAGCCAGAGCTGGCTAAAGCCATGTGGGCCACCTAGGAATAACCAGAAACCAGTCCAAGTCCTCACCATGTAATCTAAAAGACAAGGAACAGCTGTCGCCAAGCACAAGCTTTTTCCAGCCAGGTGACCAGGTTTGCCCAGGGTCATCGTCCAACCGGAAAGGTGAAATCTGCTACAGGTGTACGATCAGGAAGAAGGACCGTGGTTGAACAGCCTGGGGCACTCAGGCTGCCCATTGCACAGATGGAGCTGCTGAGACTGAGCAAAGGGCTGTCCTGAGGTCAGGGTCTAGGAGGCTGGAGCCCTGCAGAGCCACTGCCTGGGATGAATCATCGGGGTTGAGCCTCTCGGCAGCCATCAATTATGCAGCATGCCCTGGGCTTCTCCCTGCTCTAAAGCCTCCTCCCTCAGCTGCGGGTCCAGCTCAGCCTCTCCCTGTCTGTCTTACAGTCCCTGCCCTTGCTGTGGAACTGCTGTGACCCCCACTTTCCAACTGAGGAAAAAGCTCAGAGAGGCAGGAGCATCTCCCGGGGACCTCAGTTTCTCCCTGGAAAATGGTGAAAACCCATCTCAGAATATCTGGCCAGCGTAAAGTGTGGGCTTAATAGTTCCCTTTTTGGAAATACTGGGTATGGAATCTGGGACCTCAAATATCGTGGGCTCTTCTGCTGAGCCCGGGGTAGCATTCGCTGGTGCTACCACTTGTGAAGTCTCCCGGGGCACCAGTGGTATCACTGGAGGATGCTAACAAGCAGACGGATCCTGACCAGTTCCCAAGCCTCTCGGGCTTTCCCGAGCCCCCAAAGCATTCACCTATCGCTACCTGCCTAACTTGGATGAGGGTGAAGGCCCTGTAGACCTGCACTGTGGTTACTGGGGAGAGTCTCAGCGGAGCGGGTCTCCACACCCACCCACGGGCGTGTCACCATATTACTCTAATGTGCTGTGTGTGGCACGCCTCCCTCACCTCCCTGCCCGGATGGGGCACTGCCACCTGCACCTGCCTCAGAGACTCCGGCTGACTGACGTTTCAGACACAGCTCTGGGGCCCCTAAATCACTGCTGTAGAAGGGATCCTGCCCGTAGGTTTCGAGTTGGGGAGGCCACGTTCCCTGTGGGATGGGGGTGGGTGAGTCCCTCAGAAGTGTCCCTGAGCCACACAGGTGCTGTGTGCTCGCTCAGCAAGTCTGGTAACCCTGACCCAAAGGAGGAGTCCACGTCCTGGTAATTAAGAATACCACCATCTTCCCTGATGACTACCGTGGCAGACGCCTCTCTGGGTCACCCTGCAGGCGCCTTCCTCCTGCTGTCTAGTCCCTTTCCTGTGGAGGGGAAGGGGATCACGCCTGAGCCAGCCCAAGGCAGTTTCCAGCAAGATGGCATCAGCAGGAGGGTGGGTGTGGAGCACAGAAAGCCTCTATTTATAACACGCTCAGCTCCCTCCTCCACCCCAGCCCGGGCCTGGGCACTGGCTCCGCTTCAGGTGTGAGCCAGAGACCCTGCGGGCTTGCCCCCATCGGCCGATCCAGGAAGCCCAAGCCACCACGGCCTTTCTGTGGGCCTGGCCAGGTCAGGTGGCAGGACCCAGCAGATCAGGTTCTTCACAGATGTGTGAGATAGTGTGGTTGCCATGCCAACGCGGGCCAGGCTCTCCCCTCCTGCAGAGCCTGGGGCTCGGATGGCATCCTCTCTGGTGCTGAGGTTGCCCACCACGCTTGGAGCTGGGAGTGGGAGCAGCAATCCTCACTGGGACACCAGGTCTCATGGGAACCCGAGCTTTCTAGTAAACATGGCCACATGGGCCTCTGAGGGGGGAGGGGCGGGATTCAGCAGAGTCAACAAGTACCACAAGGGCAGCATATAGATCCTGTTCCTGGGGTACAAAGATGGGCCAGCCCCGGGGTATGGAAGCCCCAGAAACGCACATTCACCCTCAGGGCAGGCAAGACCTCCGACCTGAGCCTTATACCTGCTGTGCAGAAAGTCACAGTGAGTCTGATGACTGTGCAGGGTCACATGTGTGGCTTAACCAGGGCAGCTGCACCTAGAGCCATCCCAGGAGAGAGAGCCCATTTCTCAGGCGGAGAAACAGAGGCCCAGTGAGGTAAACGCCCCATCCCCAAGGTCACAAGCGAAGCAGTCACATCCATAACCCACTCCAGCCCTTTACTATGATAACAATTCGCCTCAGTTTCTCTTTCTGATCCCAAATGCTTAGAACTTGTTCCAATACAAGCATCAACGGCCTGGACAGAACCCAAAGAGGGCACCCGGCCAGACTCTAGCCTTGTCACCATCCTTTAGGCCTGGGAAGGAAAAGGAAACAGGCCTCCCGCAGAACAGAAAGGAAATTACTCCTGGCTTCCGGCCTGATTATCCAAGCGTGTGAAAGGGACTGAGTGGAACCGTAGCACCAACCTGCCCATTGTACGGGTATGGAGACTGAGGTCCACAGAAGGGACTGGGACGTTTGCGTGTGGACCTGGGCCTGCCAGCCAGGACTCGTTTGGCTAGGGCGGGGAAGTAGGAACCACCCAGTGGTCATTCACCTCCCAAGCTGTGCAGGCGCCAGGTCAGTGGGCAAACCTGTCATTGCAAACCGGCACTGCCGGGTGCCCAGGCACCGGATCCAGGCCCCAACCCTGGGCCACCAGGGAGCTGAAGCTGACCCCGCTGGGAACTCCCCCGGGCAGCTCAGGGACAGGGGAGCAGGGACCCAGGCTGTCCCCAGCGCGCCGCCGCCGCCGCAGCAGCAGCAGCAGGGAAGGAGCTTCGGGGCACGCTCCACATCCGGGCCCCGCGAGCAGCGTCGCGCCAGGCCTCACCTGCACCGCCCGGGTGAAGAAGATGCCCGCGTCCGACGCCAGCTTCTTCATGTTGAAGTCCATGGCGCGCCCGTCCGCAGGGCCGCCGCGCCGGCCCGAGCGCAGCCGGCAGCCCCCCGCCCCGCCTCGCGCACCCGGCCCGCACCCCGCCCACCTGCTGCCAGCGCCCGCCCTCTGCGCGCGCACGGAAGCCGAGCCGCCGACGCGGGGCGGGGCCAGGCGAAAGGGGCGGGGCCAGGAGGGCCGGGACTTTGCTGGGAGCGCTGTTGCCTCCTGCCGGCCGCTTGTCGCAACAGCCGGCCTCTCGCTTTAGTGGACATTTTACTAAAGCAGAAGTGCTTGGTAAAAATTTGTGCAGATTTTTGTTGCTGTTGTTGTTGTTTTAAATATCTGGGGATTTCGCCGGGCGTTGGTGGCGCACACCTTTAATCCCAGCACTCGGGAGGCAGAGGCAGGCGGATCTCTGTGAGTTCGAGGCCAGCCTGGTCTACAGAGCGAGTTCCAGGGACAGCCTCCAAAGCAGTACAGAGAAACCCTGTCTCAGGTCTCTCTGGGCCCTGGCTGGCCTAGAACTCCTTATGTAGATCAGGCTGGCCTCCAGCTCACAGAAACTGATAAAGAGCCACCTACAGCACACAACCTTAATCCCAGTACTTGGGAAGCAGAGGCAGGGAGAACTCTGTGAGTTCGAGGGTAGCCCGGTCTAGTCGACAGCATGAGTTCCAAGGAGTTCCAGGACAGCCAGAGCTACACAGAGAAAACTTGTCTCAAAAACAAAACAAAACAAAACAAAACAAAATGCCGGGCGTTGGTGGCACACGCCTTTAATCCCAGCACTCAGGAGGCAGAGGCAGGCGGATCTCTGTGAGTTCGAGGCCAGCCTGGTCTACAAAGTGAGTTCCAGGACAGCCTCCAAAGCCACAGAGAAACCCTGCCTCGAAAAACCAAAAAAAAAAAAAAAAAAAAAAAAACCAAAAAGCAAAACAAGAACAACAACGAAGATCCACCTGCTTAAGGCATGTGCCACCACTTCTGCCCAGTTTGGTTTTGTTTCTTGATTTTTGGGTTTTGTTTTTTCCAAAGACAGGGTTTCTCTGTGTCTTTGGAGGCTGTCCTGGAAGTAGGTCTTGTAGACCAGGCTGACCTTGAACTCACAGAGATCCCCCTGCCTCTGCCTCCTGAGTGCTTGGATTAAAAGCACAAGAAAACTGTAGTGCATGTGTGGCGGTCAAAGAGCAACATCCTAGAGTGGGTTCTCTAGTCTCCCTCTTTTTTAAGGGTTCTGTGGTCTCCACACCAGTGTCAGGGCAAGCTGCATTACCTGCTGAGCTGTCTCTCTAGCCCTGTTTGTTTTGTTTGTTATTTTTGTTGTTGTTGGGTTTTTCCTGTTTTTTGTTTGTTTTTGTTTTGTTTTGTTTTTTCAAGACAGGGTCCTGGAACTAGCTCTGTAGAAGAGGCTGGCCTGGAACTCACAGAGATCCACCTGCCTCTGCCTCTCGAGTGCTGGGATGAAAGGTGTGTGTCACCACCACCTGGCTTGTTTGTTAATTTAAACAATTTCTTTATGTGCATGGGTATTTTGCCTGCATAGGCTATGCACCATGTGTGCAGTGCCCAGAGCAGCCAGCAGAGGGCGTTAGATTCCTGGGAACTGGAGTTACAGAGGCTTGTGAGCCACCATGTAGGTGCTGGGAACAAACTGTCCTGGAAATCCAGGCCTTCTAAAGAGTAGTCAGTGCTTTGTTTTGTTTTGTTTTTCGAGACAGGGTTTCTCTATGTAGTGTAGCCAGTGCTCTTAACTGCTGAGCCATCTCTCCAGCCCTTATCTCCTTTTAAGACTGTTGTTGTTTTCATTTGTGTATATGTGAACATAGGTCACATGTATATGAACACCCATGGAGACCAAAAGAGAGTGTCAGATCTCCTGGAGCTGGAATTAAAGGCAGTTGAGCAGCCTCATCTGGAGGCTGAGAACCAAACTTGTCCTATGGAAGAGCAGTGGCTGCTCTTAACCTCTGAGACACTACTCCTGCCTAGTTTGTTGTTGCTTGGTTGGTATGTTTGTTACCTTTCTTTGTTTTTCTTTTTTTTTTTTTTTTGGTTTTTCGAGACAGGGTTTCTCTGTATTGTTTTGGAGTCTGTCCTGGAACTCGCTCTGTAGACCAGGCTGGCCTCGAACTCACAGAGATCCGCCTGCCTCTGCCTCCCGAGTGCTGGGATTAAAGGCGTGCGCCACCAACGCCCGGCCTGTTTTTCTTTTTGCATTTGTTTTTGTTTATTTATTTTTGATTCAAGATTTCATGCAGCCCAGGCTGGTCGCAAATTGCCCTTGACTACACTACAGGGCTAAACTAAGGATAGGCCTTTTTGTTTCTTCATCTGGGTGAGAGGAGATATAAG